TCTTCTGTAAGGGCGTCCTGTGGAGACAGGTCCTGGGAGACAGACGGCAGGTGGTTACCGGAAGGGGCCAGGAGGTTCCTCTGAGCTGAGGTGGTTCCAGAAGCGATCACAGCCCCCCACCCCTCACCCCAGATCAGGGAGCTCCAGGAAGGGGCCACTGTGCCTCGCCCCTGTTTTCTGGTTGCACAGCTTCCAGAACCTGCCAAGCCCAGCGTCCCGAGCTCAGCAGCCCGGGCTCTGCCCCACAGACCTGCCCACACCCTGGCCTCGGCCAGGGCTGCCACCTGGGAGATGGAGCTGGCACCCGTCAATGACGCCTGAGGGACCCCCTCTCTAGCCAGGCCCGTCCCTCAGCCCCAGGCACCGGCCAGCTAAGGCCCAGCCCTGTCCTCCCTCAGGCCCTGGACCGGCCCCGGTTGTCACGGCCTCCCGTCCCCTGGCTCCAGCTCGGTGCTCACCTGCATGGGGACAGCAGCAGGCCGCCCGGCCGCCTCCGTCTCCGGGTTTCCTGACGCAGAGAATGACGAGGGCCCCGACCACCGCGGCAAAGAGCCAGCCCGCCATCCACCAGAACCGGTGTCGGCTCCCTGGCCCTGCGGACAGACAGCGCCTCAGCAGCCACACCCGCCGGTCCCAGCAGCCACGGACCAAGGCCCCCAGACCAGCGCTTCGCATGGGAAGATGCTTGAAGGACATGCAAACATGCGGCTGAGGAGGTCGGCACCCTGTGTCCACGGGGCCACGGCACCGCCACCCCTATTGCTCGTGGGCCGAGAAGTATAGAGACGTTACGTGTAGCACACACACACGTGTGCACATGCATGCACCACACATGCACACACATGCATGTAATACACACTACACGTGCACGCATACATGCATGCACACACATCACATATGCATGCACACACATCACATATGCATGTACACACATGCACACGGGAACATTATTCACCCTTAACCTGAAGGGCTTCCTGCCTTTCCTCAGGTGGTTCACGGGCCACGTGAGTGTGTGAGGACGTGGTGCTCTGGCGTCCACCCTGAAGGGACGTCCTGTGTCAGGCCCGGTCCCCGCTGACCGGCGGGGCCCAAATCTGACGCCATGACATTTCCCTCCGCTTTCTCCTCTTTTTTTCACAAAGTGGACATTTTTATTAATTTCTGAGAGCAAGAGGGAGAGACAGACAGAATCATCAATGACCGGAGAGAGTCACTGATCGGCTGCCTCCTGCACGGCCCCCACGGGGGACGGAGCCCACAGCTCAGGCCTGTGTCCTGACTGGAATCGAACCGTGACCTCCGGGGTCATAGGTCGAGGCTCCGCCCCGAGCCACGCCGGCCGGGCGGTCCCGTTTCCTCTAGGAGTTCTAGAGCTTCGGGTCTGAGTTCGGTCTGTGGTTCGTTGCGAGTTAATTTTTCTCCAGTCTCCCCAACAGCATCGTTTGAAACACTGTCCTTTCCACACAACGGTCTCGCCTCGAGGGCTGATGTGTTTGGAATTCCGGCCTAAGTTCACCAGCAGATGAACGACTGACAGGACGTGGCCTAGTCCACATCCGTGAGTGTGACTCAGCCGCCAGGCGCTCTCACAGGTCCCACAATAGGGAGGGTCTGGAGGACACGCTCCTGAAGGGAAGGAGCCAGACACGCAGGCCACAGGCCCATGCCCCCGTGTCTGTGACGTGTCCGGAATGGGGAGACCTGTCACTGCAAGCAAATCAGGGCCTGCTGGGGGCGGGGGGTGGGGGACGGGGGACAGGAGAGCTGCTGTTTAATGGGCGGATGTGAATGTTTCGGGGAGACACAGAGGTGGGTGCTAAGAGCCCCTGAACTGCTCACCGTAGCCCAGCCGGTGTGGGTCAGTGGCCGAGCGTGGCCCTATGAACCAGAGGTCATGGTTCGATTCCTGGTTTCGGGCGTGATCCCCATGTGGGGCGAGCAGAAGGCAGCTGATCCATGATTCTCTCTCATCATTGATGTTTCTATCTCTCTCTACCTCTCCCTTCCTCCCTGAAACCAGTAAAAATATATTTTAAAATAATAAATAAATTTTCTATAACGTGGTTCTCGTCTCCAGAACATACACCTCAGACCCGACAGGGACCCGCTTACCTGGGCCGGGCAGGCCGCACAGGGTGTCGGCCGTGGCGTTGCACGTCTGCAGGACGACCTTCCCCTCGGGGCACCTGGGGAGGAGACGCCACACTGTTCCTCCCTCCACGTCTCCCAGGGCCCCGGGCCCAGGGGCGCTGTCAGCGGCAGAAGGTGGGCTCCGGGGCGGCTCCCGCGGAGAGCTCCCTCACCCGCCGCGGGAGCACCCTGTGCCCGAGCCGAGGCCCACGAGGGCCCAGGGCACGCACAGCCCAGCGCTCACCCCAGAACCGGCCTCTCAGAGGTCATGGCCCTCATCCCAGGGGGGAGCCACGGAGGTCCCTCCAGGGAACCTGCTCGGCCTCGTGTGCAGGCCTGGGAGCGGGGAGCGGGGGTCTGTCCTGTGTGTGAGAGGCTCGGCCCTCAGGTGTCCTTCCTCGTGGTCGCAAAGTTAGGGGCTGGTCATTGTTTGTCACGTGTTCCGAGGTCACAGGGAGGCGTGTTTAGACCCAGGACCGACGCTCGCTTGCGCAGGCCGCACGTGCTCACAGCTCTCTGCCCACCTGAGGGGGGACCCGGAGGGACCTCTACGTCACCGGCCCCTCGCCTTCCACCATCGCCGGTTCCCCAGCTCCTGTCCGAGTGCGGGAGGCTGGTTCTGAGACCCCACACTCCAGGGTCACAGCGTGAAACACCTGCAGCCCAGCCGGCGGGCTCAGTGGCTCAGCATCAACCCCTGAACCAGGAGGTCACGGTGTGATTCCCGGTCAGGGCACAGGCCCGGGTACGGGCTCCATCCCCGGTGGGGGGCGTGCAGGAGGCGGCCGATCCATGATTCTCTCTCATCATTGCTGTTCCTCTCTCTCCCTCTCCCCTCCTCTCTGACATCAAAAAAAGTCCACGCCACGGGGGGGGGGTTAGGGGCTAGGGGGGACCCAGGCCCGCGCCCCGAGGCCGTACCTGGTGCAGCGGTAGCAGCTCTCTGGGCAGGGCTCAGAGTCGCAGTAGAACTCCCCGGTCTTGCACTGGCACTTCCGGTTCCGTTTCGGGGTGCAGTCACTCACCATCTCCTGGTCTGCGGGGGGAGGGGAGGCTGGGTCAGGCACCAGGGCTGGGACTCCATCCCACCCATACCGGCCCCTCCGGCTGCCGAGTCACAGGCACCGAATCCACAATCTCCCTCCCTCTTCACACTGACAGACGACGAGGTGACAACTAGACTCTATTTCCAGCATCGGGGTGTCTGTGGACGGGCCGGAGGGGACCCTGAAACCTGCGGTGTCTGTGGACAGGCCAGAGGGGACCCTGAAACCTGGGCTGTCTCTGGAGGGGCAGCAGGTGCCCTTGCGATGTGGGCTGGGAGGACAAAGCCAGCGCTGTCCTCAGAGATACCCCCAAATTATCCCTTTCATCGTGTTCGCCCCCTAAAGGGCAGGCCAACACCCCCAGTGTGGGGGGGCAGGAGGCAGCTGTGAGTGACACAGCAGACAGCGAATGCGGCCGCAGAGAGCCCCTGGCCCCATCTGCTGGCGGTCAGCTCGGCGGTCACCCCACAGCCCGCCCGATGGCCGCCAAGGCCGGGCCCTGAAGCCTCTCGGGGTGCACGGCTCCATCGAGGGGGAGGGACCTCCAACCCCCTCTGCCCAGCGTCTGAACTGCAGGTGAGATGGGACTAAGGTGGGGCCACAGCCCAGCCGGAGACCAAGCCCGTCACCCACTCGCCTGCAGCCCCCGACCCCACATGTCGCTTTGCCCGCCTTCTCTGCCAGTGGACATGGGAGGCTCCCGGTGGTGCCACCGCACACCGGCCGGGCTCTGACACACGGGGAGAGCGGGCCCCGGTCCAGACCGAGGCGGGCGGGCGGGGGGGAGTGGGGTAGGCCCGTGGGAACGTCACCCACTACACCCAGTGTTTCCTCCGAGGCTGGCACTGACCCCCCGTCTCCCATCGGGCCAGGATCCCCACTGCCCTGCGCCCACGTGCGGCACCGGCTCTGGCGGACGTAGGACAGTCCGCCTCTTCACTCCTCAGAGACCCTTTCTTTTTCTTTAATTATACTTTTATTGATTTTACTTATTTATTCATTTATTTATCTATTTATTTATTTGGTTAATCTTCACTCCAGGATATTTTTCTTTTTTGAATTATCTTTAAGTTTAGATCTTTGGAAAATGCTTTTTTTTTTTTTAAATTAAGAAAAATATATATATTCTTGCACTGGCTGGTGTGGTTTGGTGGATAGAGCATCAGCTTGCGGACTAAAGGGTCTCAGGTTCAATTCAGGTAAAGGGCACAGGCCCGGGTTGCGGGCTGGATCTCCAGTGGGGGGGGGTGCAGGGAGGCCCTCCCAGGCCCAGGGTCTCCCACAGCCCGCAGCTGGGACAGGTCTGGAAGGAGCCACAGGCAGCCCCGCCCAGAGCCCGCCCAGGGCCCGCAAGGACCCGCTGCCCGGGAGTGACGCAGAGGGCAGGCTGCGTCCACACGGGTGCCAGGCCAGCTGGGTCTTCTGGGAGAAATACAATCCGCCCGGCCGGCGTGGCTCCGTGGCTGAGCGTCCATCTATGAACCTGGAGGCCACGGTTCGATTCCCGGTCAGGGCACAGGCCGGGGTGCGGGCTCCATCCCCAGTAGGGTTCGTGCAGGAGGCAGCCGGTCCATGATTCTCTCTAATCATTGATGTTTCTATCTCTCTATCCCTCTCCCTTCCTCCCTAAAAAATCATTAAAAATATTTTTAAATAAAAAATAAATATATTTTTTTAAAATTTAAAAAAGGGGCTTTGGGGTCAAGGTTAAGACTGGAGGGGCCGGGACTCACCCTCGCGGCAGGTGGTGCACAGCAGGCAGGACCGCAGGCCGTTGGCGTGTCCCGTGTAGGTCCCTGTGTCACACGCCTCGCACTTGCTCCGGGTGTGGGGGCTGCTGCACGGCTCTTCGACATAGTGGCCTGTGCAAGAGGTCGGGGTGCGGTCAGACCCACCAGGCACGCCCGGCGCCCCGCTGTGCGGCCTCCACACCAGGCCCTGGGCTGGCCTCTCCGGGGAGAAAATGCAAATCCCTGTCCCTGGGCGTTAGCATTTTTTTTTCTTTTTTTTTTGATTAAAAGCATGTCTTTATTTCGATTTTGAACTTTAAAAGTATTTTTTTTAAATTAAATCTTTATTGTTCTGATTACATTTGTTCCTCTTTTTTTCCCATAACTCCCCTTCTCCCAGTTCCCGCCCCACCCTCCGCCGTCACTCCCCACCCACTGTGTTCATCCATAGGTGCACGATTTTTGTCCAGTCTGTTCCCACATCTCCCATTCCCCTTTCCCCCCCAAGAATAGTTAGTCCATTCCCTTTCTATGTCCCTGATTCATTATAATCACCAGTTCATTCTGTACATCAGGTTATTTATTCACTTGATTCTTAGATTCACTTGTTGATAGATGCATGTTTGTTGTTCACAATTTGTATCTTTACCTTTTTCTTCTTCCTCTTCTTAAAGGATACCTTTCAGCATTTCATATAATACTGGTTTAGTGGTGATGAAGTCCTTTAGCTTTTCCTTATCTGTGAAGCTCTTTATCTGACCTTCAATTCTGAATGATAGCTTTGCTGGATAAAGTAATCTTGGTTGTAGGTTCTTGGTATTCAGTACTTTGAATATTTCTTGCCACTCCCTTCTGGCCTGCAAAGTTTCTGTTGAGAAATCAGCTGACAGTCGTATGGGTGCTCCCTTGTAAGTAACTAACTGCTTTTCTCTTGCTGCTTTTCAGATTCTCTCTTTGTCTTTTGCTCTTGGCATTTTAATGATGATGTGTCTTGGTGTGGTCCTCTTTGGATTCCTTTTGTTTGGGGTTCTCTTCACTTCTTGGACCTGTAAGTCCA